CCGAACTCTGGGCCACGGTTGGCCCGACGGTGGGCAAAACTTTGTGAAACGCAGTTTAATTGACTTGATTTTTCTTGGTTGGCCGAACTCTGGGCCACGGTTGGCCCGACTGTTGCAGCTTAAATATACATTTTGCGTTATGCACTCCCATGTGAGCGTAGCGTAGTGGTCAGTGTATAAGTCTTCGGTGCGTTAGGTTAGGGGTTCGATCCCAGCGAGCGATAGATATTTTCGAAAATGTATGTATGAGATTGTGTTTAATAATAATAGGTAAAGGTTATATCTGATGTTCCCGCTAATAATAACGTGTTAATTGTTTAAATAATGTAGTTTTTTAATAATTTTTTACCTTTGGCTGTTGAAGTTGGCCAAACTTTGAAAATTGTGGTTGGCCCAACTTACGCATCTAAAGTTGTGCCAACTTTGGCGTCAGTCTTTGGACCAACCATTGAAATGTATAGTTGGCACAACATATGCATTGTAAGTTGGGCCAACTTCCTTATGAGTTGTCGGGCTAACCATCGTCGCCATTAGACGGTCGCCGTTATCATCTGTATGGTTGGCCCAACCTCTGGCACGAGAAGTTGGACCGACTTTGTAAAAGTTGGCCCAACTATGGGCCGACCAAAAAATCGCACCTGGGTGCGAAAATTATACACGCGAGTTGAAAAAAAGGAAAGATCATTAGGTTTAATTTTTTTTCTTTTTCAAAATCGTTTTTTTTCTATAACGGGCTAAATTATTTAACGCGAAGATTTAGAATATGGCTTAAGAACTGACACGGATGATTAAGAGTGCTCGAGATTCTACGTTAATCATTTTAATGTGTATATAAGACAAAACAGGCGTGGGACTGATTATATAGTGTGTGCGGGGCATGATTCATTCGATCTGCGCAGTATTATTCTAATGTGAATTTTATTCCATGGGGAATAATTTTTTTTTCTTCTTTGAGTTGCGCGAGACTTAATAAAAATAAATGCCAAAGAGGAAGCACAAAAAAGAGAGATTAAAAAGAAACAAATCAAAATGTCCCTGAAGTTCAAATGGAGAAACAAATATTTTTGTTCCTTATGTGAATAAAATTTTTGAATTTATTTTAATTTTATTTATGAGAGCGTTATTTTAAATTCTATTTCTTTTGTGAGGAGAAAATTTTTATTTTTATTCTTATTGAGGTAAAATGGTTGAATTATTTTTTTCTTTTGTATTGTTGTGATAATTTTATTACTATTTGAAATATTTTGTTCCATGAAATATATTGAACAGAACTTAATCATTAAAATTAAATTGATTCACAGATTTCTAAAAAAAGAATTAATTCCAAACTACCTTAATAGATTGTTAATAAATTAGCGATTCTTTGATAGAAATTTGCTTTTTTTTGTTAGAAATAATTTGGTAATTATTTAGTTTATTAGGATGTTGCTTATTGCGGTAGTTGTTTATATGGAGAAAGGTCGCGGTCGCGAGAGAGAGAAAGAGAGAGAAAAAGAGAGAGGTTTCCACGATATGCATAACAATGACCATAAATGCAAAACGTTGTCATGGAGGAAGAAGCTCGAGATTGAATACAAATATACTTAACAGTGCTCTCGTGTACTTCACAAGGAGTACGATTTATGTTCCTTCAAGAACGTCAAGTGGGAAATTATGACTCATCCCCGAGAAATAATCTACGATTCTAAAAGACCACTGTTTTGCCCTTTTCCAGTTCATGTTATCATTTTATACCATGATTAATTCACTTCGCACGGGAAGATTGATTTACTTTTCTCTATTTATATATAGGTATACCGTCTACCATTCAGTATTCTCCATTCATTTTTTACCCTCTATTTTTTAGAAACACTTTCTTTATTTTCTCCCATTAAAAAAAAGATTAAAATTTAATTTCTTTTTTCAATTTATTCCTAACTTTATACTTAGGAAAAAATTATATTTTAATCAAATGCATCAAATTTGATGCCTGAGCATATACTCTGTATATATTATTATTTCCCCCCCCCACCCCTCGCCTCCCACCTTCACTTTTTGATTTTCATTCGAAAACAAAAAAATTCACCAACAAATAAGAAAATTTTCGAAAAATTTGAAGCTTATGCTCCAAAAAAAACTATTTGCCTTTTTGCAAAACAAAAATAATCCTAATTTATCAAAAATAAATTTTCTTTTTCTATTTTTCGTCAGGCAGGTCTCGAACTAGGCCCGTAAATCCCGTAAAAGTCCATAAATTTGCTTCAAGTCCGTAAAAGTCTGTTTTTTAAAAAAACGTCCGTAAAGTCCGTAATTTGATGGAAAAAGCACGAAAAGTTCGTAAATTGTACGATATAATTTGGAGAATTTTAGAGAAATTACAAATGATTGCAGAAATTCAATTATTTTTGAAAGTAATAAAATTCTTCGCAGAAATTCAATTATGTTCCAAAATTTTTAAAAATTCGTCTCAAGAATTCAATTATTTTCAAAAGTAATAAAATTCTTCTTCGAAATTCAATTATTTTCAAAAATTTCCCTCAATTGAATGATTTTCAATATCTACTATTTTCATAAAATTTTCCAAAAGAATTCAATTATTTAAAACAAAATTTAATAAAATTCTACACAAACTTTTAATTATTTTCAAAAAATAATAAAAATTTCACAGGAAGTATCATAAATAAATAAATTAATAATAAAATTTTTGCGGAGTTTCAATTATTTTTAATACAATTTTAATCGAATTCCTCGAAAAAATTCTTAAAGATTTTATTAAAATTCATGAAAGAAATCCAATTATTATTTTAAAAAGCCTTCCTATAATTTATTTATTACAATACATTTAGAATACATTTTTAATTAAATTTTTTAAAGAATTGAATTATTTTTTCAAAAATTTTAAGGAAATTCTTTTTAACAATTCAATTATTTTTTCAAAATAATTTTAATACAATTTTTCATAGAAATATTTAACTAATTATTTCAATAATTTTTCAAATTTCAATTATTTTTAATATTTACGTATTTCAATAAAATTTCACAAAAGAATTCAATTATATAAAAAGAAATATTATCAAATTTCGTCTCAAGAATTCAATTACTTTTAAAAGTAATAAAATTCTTGGCAGAAATTCAATTATGGCCAAAAGTAATAAAATTATTCGCAGAAATTCAATTATAGTCAAAAGTTTTAAAAAATTCTCTTCAAAACTTCAATTATCTTTATAAATAATAAAATTTTTCTCCAAAATTCAATTATTTTCAAAAATTTTAATGAAATTCTTTTTAACAATTCAATTATTTTTTCAAAATAATTTTAATACAATTTTTCGTAGAAATTTAATTAATTTTAATAATTTATCAAAATTCAATTATTTTCAATATCTATACCATTTGAATAAAATTTTACAAAAGAATTCAATGATTTAAAAAGAAATATTATTAAGATTCGTCTCAAGAATTCAATTATTTTCAAGAAGTAATCAAATTCTTCGCAGAAATTCAATTATGGTTAAAAGTTTAAAAAAATTTTCTTTAAAATTTCAATTATCTTTATCAATAATAAAATTCTTCTCCAAAATTCAATTATTTTCAAAAATTTTAATAAAAATCTTGGCAAAGTTTCAATTATTTTCAAAAACTTTTCTCAATTCAATGAAATTTTTTACAGACTTTCAATTATTCAAAAAAATTCAATTCAATTCAAAATTATTCAAAAAAATTTTCTTTAAAATTTCAATTATCTTTATCAATAATAAAATTCTTCTCCAAAATTCAATTATTTTCAAAAATTTTAATAAAAATCTTGGCAAAGTTTCAATTATTTTCAAAAACTTTTCTCAATTCAATGAAATTTTTTACAGACTTTCAATTATTTTTAATACAATTTTAATCTAATTTCTCAAAAAATAAAATTATTTTTAAAAATTTTATTAAAATTCGTCAAAAGAATTTTAATTACTTATTTAAAAATTTGTTGATAAAATTTTTTGAAATGAGAGTTCAATTTTAAAAAAAACATTCAATTCTTTAATAAATTATTTATTTTTGTATTTAAATAATTGAATTCCAGTAGAATTTTCTTATAAAAATTGATTTAAAAATTAATTTCATAGTTAAAATTTTAGATAATAATTGAATATTAAAAGCAATATTGCGTGGATTTTTAAAAATAATTGAATTTTGAAATTAATTTTTTTGAAAAAGTTTAATTGAATTTTTTTAACATTATTTTGTTTTTGTTTTCTAATATTTATTTAATTGAAAAATTTACTAGTAATTGAAATTTCGTAAAATTGAATATTGTAAACAAATTGATTTGAAAATTGTCAAAGAACTTTTTCGAAAATTATTAAAAATAATCGATTGAATAATCGATTTAAAGAAGAATTTTAGTTAAAAATTCTTGAAAACATACCTAAACATACCTAAACATACCATTCCTAAAAACATACCAATTGAAAATAATAATTGAATTGATAATGATTTTATCACTCGGTTAATTATTATAAAACATGAAGAAATCGATATCGATAACTCCGAGTCGAAGACTCGGAGTTATCGATATCTTCATGTTTTATAGTTATGAAAAATTTAATTTATAGTTTGAAGTAAAATGTTCTCTTATTTGACTCGGACTTACATTTTTGTCAGTAATTGTTCCGTAATTTTTCATTTTTGGTCCCTAAAGTCAATATTTTTAAATACATTCACTGGTTCAAGCCCTGTAATAAAGAAACTAGGCTATGCATTTAAATTTCTATATACAGATTTACTAATGTGATATTAACATCATTTGTTATGTATTATCTGTGTTTACAATTCCGTAACAATTTTTTCCATTATCTAACATATCTCTTTGTTCGGGAATTTTTTTTTTGTCATAAGAGTGAAGCAATATGGAAAAGTTTTGATGTGTCCTTGAAAAAAAAGGTATTAGAGAATAGTTTGTCATCGAACCTCCTACATGAAATTACGGCATGTAGAATTTTAGTAGAAATTATTACATCATTAACACTCACGCTTTTACTGTGACTTGTACTATGGTGTGTGTGATGATGATGATGATGGTGGTGATGATGTGTGTCCAACTTCATGTTGGCGCAACGATTAAGTGCGTGCAGTCTTCGGAAGAGACTCTGCAATGAGTCCCTCTCCAAAAATGGATGATCCTTCGCAACGCTCGATACATCTATTGGAAACTGGTAGTCTGAAAATAGACAAAAATAATGTTTCAATAAAAAATGTATAACAAATTTCAAAAGAAATAATAGGTTGAATAAAATTTCGTCTAATTAAATATTCTTTTAATTAAAGAATGGTTTAAATAAAAATTCTCTGAATGAAAAATTCGGTCAAATTATAATTTGATTACTTAAAAATTCTATTAAGTATAAATTTAGGTTAATTTTAATTTCGGCTAAATTATTTCTAACGAAATTCAGTCAAATATTCAAAAGAAAAGATTTTATATTTCATGCTTCCCGAAATACGTTTCTTAATCGAATATATATAAAAAAAAAGTAGGGAATAACTGATTATTATCGCAGTTGCAAATTATATCTTGCCCCATCATTATTTTCTCAGACTGATTATCATCTTTCCGAAATGTTGAGAAAAAAAATGTTTATAACGTAATCTTAATTTGAACATCAAAAGTGAGTCACAACCGAGAGAGAAAGAGAGAGAGAAAGAGAGACGAGTTTCTCCTATGAAAGATTCTTTTTAAATTAGGAGAAATTTTCCGGAAGCTGGTATAGATTTAGATTAGAGAACTTTTTTCGAAAAATGAAAGAAACTGGTCGATAAGAAATACACGTGGATTAGTTGCGGACTTGAAAGAAAGAAAGAAAGAAAGATTATTTCCATAATGGTTAACACACGCCTATCGATGATCCAGATCGCGAAATCGACTCTTGAGGGCTTATCCCCATTGGGAATAAATTAAATTTATCGATTAGCGATCGAGCCTGCTTTCTAGACATACTAATTATTGCCGCCTCTCTTGCTCACAGTACCGTTCATCTGACGAATCAATTAGCATTCTCGTGATGCAACGTCTCTTATTTGTGTGTGAATGTATGTTTGTATACAATTTATAGTTATATGTGCATATATATATGTGAAAGTAATCAATTTCCAAGATCGAAATTTATATTTCATTGGGAAAAATTCGGGTAGCTATTCTATAAAATTATAGGGTTCGTTAAATTATCAGATTTGTAATTATGATTATGTGAAAGCAATATATCAAATATATCGGAAAGTGTTACGTTTATAATGAGAACTACTGGAGATGATGCGCGAAATATTTAATTATATTTTTCGTCCATTTCGAGAATATACTTAATTTTATTTAAATTCTGTACTCAACAATATTTTGTAAATAAAATTGAAATTAAAAGAGGTATGTAATAAAAATATCGTCGTTCAGTTGAACGTTCGAATTCAAATTAATAACGTTAAATAGTTGATAAAAATCAAACTGTAGATTAACATTAAATAGTAGATAAAAATCAAAAAGTTGATTAATATTAAATAGTTGATAATTGTCAAATAGTTAATTAATATTAAGTAGCTAATGATAATTAAACGGTTGATTAATATTAAATAGTTGATAATTGTCAAATTAATATTAAATATAATATTAAACAGATAATGGTAATTAAATATTTGATTAATATCACAAACGGTATTAATATTTATAATATATATAATAATATTAATATTAATAAATCGGTATTAATAATTAATGAAATAATTAATTGAAAATAATTGAATACTCGACTAGTGTCCTGATAGGCATTAATTAACAAAAAAAATGATCGAACATCGAAATTTAAACTGTGTTTACCGACAGAAAGTTTGTTTTTCGAATATTTTTTACCATCATCAGCAAGTTGCACTGCGAAATAGAATTTGTTTGACCAATCCTTATTGTTTATTTTGCTCTTGATGAATATTCACTGATCCATAAAAGTTGTTTCTGGATCAATGACTTTGGTATACGTGTATATACAATATATCCATATAAAGCGTGGTTGGTCGAATTTCGTGCATCCGATATGAAAACATTCCACTTTATTTTCCTTGCACTACAATGCATAATTTGAGTTCAAGAGGGTCAATTAATTACTATTCATATTGAGTCTGTGTGTATGTATTTTAATTATCAGATTTGTTTTCTATTTCCTGCAAAAGTGGGCACAAATTTTGCAAATATTCTCGCTCTTTATTTATTATTTTCTCTTGATAATCAATTCTTACAAATACATAGAATTTTCATATAAAACTTTAATCCCCATTGTTATATTTATCTATTACTCAATCGAGGTTGCCACAAAAATTAAATTTTGTTTTTCCCTCACTTTCCTTTGATTTCCATTTAAAATTCTTACTTTTTCCTGACTCTAAAGAATATTCTGATTCAAATTAAAATTTTTCAAAACATTCAAATTTAAACTTTTTTTAAATTAAACAATTTAAAAAAAAATTGTTATAAAACATGAAGAAATCGATCACTCCCGAGTCTTCGACTCGGAGCAATCGATATCTTCATGTTTTATAAATAATTAAAAATGACCGACTGATAAAAAATTAAATCTACACAATTTTCAGTTAAAAGTATGAAAAATTGAAACTTTCAAAGATTATAATTTGAAAGTGTTTTGAAATTCAATTTCTAAAAATTCACGCTATAATACTTTCTCTCTAAATTTGAATTAGTAAAAAATTAAAAATATTTACTAATTGGATTAAGTGACGGACTTTTGGCTTTTGAATTAGTAAATTTTACTATTAAATTAGTAGAAACTAGTATTAATTAGTAAAATCTGCTAATTCAAAAGCAAAAAGTCAGTCACTAATTCAAATTAGAAAACATTTTAATTACTAATTCAAATTTAGAGAATTTTATATTCGCAATTATTATCTAAAATTTTAACTAAAATTCATATTTACATAAATTTTTAATAGAAAATTCTACTAGAATGCAATTATTTAAATACAAAAATAAATAAATTTCCTTTAATTAACAAAAATAAATAATTAATTGAATAATTGAACGTTTCTTAAAATTCAATTCCCATAAAGAATCGTTATCAACAAATTTTCAAATAATTGAATTCTATCAACGAATTTTAATAAAATTTTTAAGAATAATTACATTTTTCGAGAATGAGTTTTATTATTTGTGAAAATAATTGAATCCCGAAGAAGAGCACATTCCTGAGAAGAAAAATTTAGAATATCGTTCTTTGAAGGTACAAAGAGCGGATAATTTTTGAATGCACGTAGTTTTTAATCTATGAACATTTATCTGAAATGGTCATTGTAAATGGTCACATAAAATGTCAGCAGAGATTAATGATTTTTCGAGGTATATTACGTCATAAAATGGATTAAACTTGAAAAGGGCGTATGTATCTATAGAGAGGACTAGTGACAATATAAGTAGTCATACCTTTTTAGTATTATATGACGTACACATATATCAGCAATAATTATACACATACACAAAATGTATAATATACATAAACTCTTGTGTGCATGAGCATACACATGAAAACGTCCAAACAGTCTTAGAATTTTGAAGGACATACTCGATACTTCTTCCGTTTGGAAAAGAATAAGAAAAAAAACACATAATCACACCTACGTAGGCGCGATCATGGGTGTGACATAAGTGCGACTTAATTCATAGAATTGCGTCGCACTAGGTATTCTAATTGCTATGATTGATTGTATTATATGGAATATAATGGAAAATATATTGTACTCTAAGTATCCATAGGCATTTATATGGTGTAATAGGGAAAGAGGAAAAATAAATGCACACCTTCTGTGCAATCATTTTCTATTTGTGACTACTGATACGTTTCTACTTTGATTTTTTAATTTTTTTTGTACTTTTTTTAGCTGTTATATAAATTCTGTGTAGGAAGGGCATAACAGCACAACTATATTTGTAATTATTATTTAATAATAATAATAATAATAATAATAATAATAATAATATTCTCTTACTTCTTTCAAAACAAAAAATCAAAAGGTTGTATTTGATTCTTGGCATTTAGACTTATTATTTGATATATAAAATGGATCTATTAGCGACGCATAAAGATTTTGAAGCTAAAAAACTGAAAAAATAAAGCATTTGAATAAAATTGTTTATTTCTTTTAAATATTTACACTGAGAGGAATGAATAATAAGATTTTGATGATTAAAATTAGATGTTTATCTGGTACCATCATCAACTACTGGGTACCATCAAAGATGTTACAAAAATATTATGTTAGCCACTGCAATCAAGATGTTACTCCGTACAATCTGAATTGTATCTACAATCTAGATAGCTGCCTGTATTTGTAGCATTAAAGATGGTACTCCCAGGGCTCGAACTATATCCGTAAATTCTTTGCAGAAATTCAATTATGTTCAAAAATTTTTAAAAATTCGCATCAAAATTTCAATTATTTTTAGAAATATAATATATATAAATATCTACTAATTACTACTAATTTTCTAGACAATAATAATTAAATTGAAATTTTGAAAATAATTTTGGAGAAATTGCATTTACAAAATTTTTATAGTATAAAATAATGATTTTATCAATTTGCCATCTTTAATTATTATAAAACATAAAGAGAGCGATTACTCCGTGTCGAAGACTCGGAGTGATCGATATCTTTATGTTTTATAGTTATGAAAAATTGAATTTATAGTTTTAAAGTAAAATATTCTCTTATTTGACTCAGACTTATATTTTTGTCAGTAATTGGTCCGTAAATGGTCAGTAATTTTTCATTTTTGGTCAGTAAAGTTCGTATTTTTAAATAATTTCACTAGCTCGAGCCCTGTACTCCGTACAATCATTAAGTTACTCTGTAACATATTTTCCTCTCAGTGTATAGTAAATATGCTAAATTTTTACTCTGACAATTGCCAACAATTATTTTAATGAGCAAGATTATGTAAAATTAATCGTGACAACCAAAATGTCACTTGCAGAAGAATCACCCATGTTTGTACTGTAGACTATTGTATTGTTTTACTACAGAAGAAGAAGGAAAAAATCGACAAAGACTTAAGTTTGAAATCTATATAAGATGCTTCGCGGGTAAACAATCGTTTTATCTCTTTTGAGACAAAGAGAGATAGAGAGAGGGAGACAAAAATGGTCTTACAGGAGAGTGTAATTCTCTCAT